ACATGAGGAGTACTCCTGCTGAGACATCAGCTGTGGACGTTGTGGAAATCAAAACATGTCTACTTTTCATATTTTCTAAAGACCTCATTTTCTTTTTGAAACTCAAGGTTTCTTTCATTGAATATCATCTTTAACATCATAGTTTAATTCTACATTTTATCTTCAAGATCATTTTTTTATAAACTTGGGTTTTTTTTCATTTTCTCATTTCGGATCAATTTTAATATACACAAATCAATTTACAATCAGGTTATTACAATTCAGTTTCAAACAATTCCTTCAGTTTATTTTATTTTATTTCAAGATACACAATCAGAAAACATCTTAAAATATTATAATCAAAAGAGAAAAGATAACATCAAATAAACCAGAAGAAATACATAGCAGCATTTGATCAAATTAAATCAAAATTGAATTGAAGTAGCTTAGCTAGTACAAGAGGAACTAGAAAGAAACACAGATGCGAAATTAATTACAACTCATAATAGAAAGATCCATCAAAAGAAACTTAAAATTGAATCAAAGGAAAGGAAGATTGGTTGATTAGAGTGAGAGAAAGTGCCGAGAAGTTACTAAAATCAACTTAATTAAACAAGTCTATTACATCAACTCGACTAGCTAGATCATTAGAAGAACAATGATGCAATCTATTTGGAGTTAATTTAAATTAAGAAACAAATTCAATTACATACTAAATTAATTAGTAATAGATCAAATTACATATCAAATCAATGAATTCAAATTATTAAATCAAATAGAAAAGTTGAAAGGAATCAAATGAAAGTGACGAATCAAAATGAAAGAGAACAAACAGATGAGTAAAGAATGAATAGGAAGTGACATGAGAAAGGAACTTACATACAAATTGAAATATGTAATAGGGGTTGCGGGAGAGGAAAGTAGTGTGTGAAAGCGTCAATCTTATGTAAATTGGGGGGATAGGAGACTAAATTTGCTAGACAGTGTGATGGTGCGAATAGGGAGATGAAAGGTATATAAGGAGGGGGTCTGGAGGCGAAATTTGGGGAGTTTTTAATTGTCCAATTGTCCAAGTGTGTGTGTGTGGGTGCTTATTGAGTAGTTTTTTGTTAGCGTTTTATTTAAAGTGTTAAAGTGTTTATTTCAAAGTGTCCTTTAAAAGTATTAGACTTTTAAAAGTGTTATTTCTTAGTTTTAAAGTCTGAACAAAGAAAGAGTCTGTGTTAACTATCTAGGAAAGATAGTAATCAAATAGTAGTATCTGTGTGTGTCTCAAGTTTAGTGGTAGTTCTTATTTTTTTTAGTGGAATTATTTTGGCAAATAAACTTCAATCATCTCAACTCTATCTATAGAAGTTAATCAACTTCTATCATCATCATCATTATCAGCTTGGTTCATTATTATTTTTTAATCCTTACAAAGATCTCAGTTGTGTATTTCAAAAGCAATTTGACTGTGAAGCATAATTAACCTAGTTGTGTAGTGTTGTGTTAGACTTTCTATAACCCTAGCTTAAACACTTTTAGTGTTTAAAGGACCTTGGTGACCACCCAGTACAGTCATTAGACTTGTCTGAGCTGTTTTGGACCAGGTTCGGTACTGATTTTATCAGTAGAAAGGATAAAATAACATTATTACAGGTGTTGATTGTGTGTAGCAGGAAAGATTTGTCTAGAATTGTGCTCCTCTGCGTGAACTTTTGAGATTCTTATAAGGTTGAGGGCAGCTCAACTGCACCTGTTGTACTTCTATTCTCTCCGGCGGTACTTCATCCCCTCTCCGGCTCAGCCTACGCTACACTGCGTAGGAGTTCTACAACGTACACATCCCTACAACAATTGCAGCATCACATAATCATTCTGTCAAAAAAGAGAAACCACATCTGATGATGACTAACATAGAACAAACAACTGAGCCATCTGCCAAAAAAGAAAATGAACCCAGTATAACTGAGATATCAAAAGAAAAATTTGACCTAGATGCCAGTAAGTACAAAGCGTTGAAAGCAGAAGTACCTTCCAGTAAGAACTGGCCTAGATTCTCTGGGGAAGGAGAGTACGATCACATCACCTTTATCAAATGGGTGGACCGCACCAAAGAAGACCTACACATACCTGATACTCTAATCACAGCTAGACTGGGGATCACATTTACAGGGTTAGCCAACCTATGGTTCATGGAGAAAAGGGAAAAAGGGCAGCTAACCTGGGACAAATGGAAGGAGGCTATCAAAGCTAAGTTTGGAACACGCACCTGGAGGAGAATCTACAAGTTGTGTCCTTTGATTCCTGTAATATAACTTGATCAGAACTCAGTTGGAATATTGTTGAAAAGATAGCTAGAATACAACTCACCTCTTCCTTTGTACAATACACTTCAGAATAATAATCGAGCACATTTTCATGACCATCGGTGTCCTTCTTTTTCTTGTTAATTTGGGTTGATTTGATTCGTTCAATCTCGCTATCAGAATTCTGGCCAAGAGCAGCAGGATCCATTGCATTGGGATGCCCAAATGTAATGCATCAGTTCAGATTATCTCTTTCAAGACTATGATAAATCATCATCTAACCTCGGTGACATTGGCGGCTTTAGTCTTCTTGCGTGTTGGTTTTTTCTTTTGTAAACTCTTCTTCTCAGTAATATTCTGGTTTTCAGTCTCACTATCATCTAATACAACACCTTTCCGTTTTGGAGGTGGAGGCTGAGCTTGAGTTGATATAGCGGCGGATTGACGTGAATCAGATGATGGAATGATCATATTGGCTCTTCTAGGGGTGATGATGTGACTCGTTCTTCGAGGGAGGACACTAGAGGACTCTTCTTTGTTCCCACATTTGTTCACATTGTTGTCTGTAGGTTGCTGTTGTGGAGTTGGGGTGACCTCTTGAGTATGGGTAGTTGTTTCGTCGTGTTCATAGTCCATGATTGGTTGATGAAAATGAGTTGGAGAGAGTTGTGATTGGTGGTGGAAGGAGGTTTCAATTGGAGGTAGACTCGTGGGAAGGTCGACAAGTATATGGTATGTGTATACAGTATGTATAAAAGACCTAACAGACCAGGTATTGGGCCAAAAACAAGGCCTGACACCCGGGTTGGCCCAGCCACAGCAGGGCTGTCTCCTCGGGCTACCCAGTGCTGCTAAAGCGGCTAAGTTAGCGGCTTTGGCCTTGCTGAAGGCCTTAGCTTAGCGGCACATAGACCCGCTAAGCTAATTAGCTTAGCGCTGGCCCGCTAAGGTGAATTCATTGTCCCCTTAGTTTAGCTGGCGCCCGCTAAGGTTTTTCCGCTAGCTTAGCGCAAAAAAATTGCTAAGCTAAGGTGCTGCTAAGCGCTAACCTAGCTTAGCTGAGCCACCGTCGCTTTCAGTGTCCTGAATTGCATGTGTTTACCATCAACTGAGCCTTTTGCTTTTCCTTTTCTTTCCATTTTGTTTTTCCTTGGGCACTAGGAGCTTGCTTCTAGATACGAGAATAGGTGACAGGTCCCACCAGTGACGTAGCATCAATGAACATGTGTAAGACTTTCACATCACTTTATGATTAACACTGCTCACAGGGGCCAAAATTGATGCTCACATGTATGTGAGTGTTGTAGACTTTCTTGAAGTCTCCAAAAAAGATTCATTTTCTTTCAGATTCATTCAATTCACAATTTTGGTTGTGTTCAGGTGATCAGCCTGTTTTGCTCACATTTTGCTTGACATTTCTTGAGAAGGCTCATTTCCATCTTGGATGAGCAATAACTGAGTCCAGATGAGTACTCAGGATCAGCTCATGAGTCACTGAATACTCAGCAATTTGGTCAAAATTACAATGAGCACATGAACTACACCTTCCTCAGGCTTCATTTCTTAGTGAAGGCCTGCACAGGGGCCGTCCCATTTGATATGCTCAGGAAATACTCAGTATCATCCCCTGGC